AAGGAGGGCAGAGAGCTCACTCACGGCGCCTGATGAATGAGGGGTGTCTCTGGCTGTTGGGAGAGGAGAGTAGCTTTAATATGTCATTGGAGAGGAGGCCAGGGAGGCTCTAGTGGAGCAGGGTAGGAAGATATGTGAGGGATGGCGTGTGGCAGGGAGAGACCGTTGGGCATAGAGAAGAGTGATGACCATGGAAGACGTGAATCCACAGACTGCCTTTGGGTAACACAAAGCTCTCCATTTTGTGTGTCTGTGACTACATCGCACACATTGCAGATTCGGGCGGCGGTAATGACTACCTGCAGCTTCTGTGTGTGCATCTGCAGTAACACAGTTTGTTGTATGTATATTTAAAAGAGAGCACGGTTGTGGGGCCCTGCTCTTCTCCTGGGTGTTCTGTGTCTGAACAGTGACAAACGACAGAGACGGGAAACGCGAGCGGGACAAAATGAACAAAAACAACACAAAGGCTTGATCAGAGCCTTAAAATGCACCAGAAAAGAATTGTTAAGTGTTAGTCTGAATAAAATAAGAGTCAAAAATGATAATGAGCAGTCTCTTTTTAAATTACAGTAGGCAGAAATCAACATTTTTGAGTTATTATTAGCCAAAAAATCTGCTTTTTTCAGTTTTCTGACAAATTAAGAAAATCTTTCACCTGCTGATTCTTGTCCATTTGTTACACTAGCCAAATAAAATTTCTGTCTCCTCCAGTAGATACCAAAGAAGCCCTTTTTTAGACTAGCTACTGCAGTCAGCCAGCTGTTATCTTTTAAATAACCGTCAAAGCAATATTGCCATGCTGGCAGCAAATAAAGTCCCTTTCAGTCTCCTTGGCTACAGAGTTCAGAGAACACCAGTGATAACAAATATGCCTTTCTTATGAGATAAGTGCAGTATATGCAGCGACTGAGTCAGAACTTGTCTATCAGCTTCTCACTGATTGAATTTTAGCAGATTATCGTGACCAGCGCAGTCTCATATTGTAAGCGTCCTTTAAGTTACAGTGTGTGGCTGTTGGGCGTCAGTACAATGAGCTGAGGGTCTTTATTAGAACAGCTTCATCATAAGAAGGGGCCATATCTATAGGTATTATCTTAGCCGAAATTAAAAGTATAAGCCTATCTGATTTAGAAATTCACTGAGTTGAGCTAAAGTAGAGGATGAGAGCTGCCTCGCACTTTACGGTTTATTAGTGTTCAACGTACTTTATCCTCATATGGTTTGCTCGGGGGTACAGCATTGCCTAAATAATGCAGATACCTCAGAGGTTTTTCAGAAACACAACGTGTTGTTTGGTGAGCTATTTCCACGCAATATCAACCCCCGATAAAAAAAAAAAAGATGTTTAAAAAAAGAAATGTTCTCACTTTCGTAACAACTCCAAACAGGAAACAGCTGACAAGACTGTCATCGTCTCTTCACACATGACAGCGTACAAGATTTAGAGCTGCACACTGGCATAAACAAGATGTTAACGATAAGGCAGACATTCATCTGTTATTCAAATTAAAGCTTCCCCGTGGAGCTTTCGAGTGGAGCGTCTTCTTATTGTCTCGTGCACACGCACTAAGAGGCGGGTCGACGTGAGGTGGCGTGACAGGTAGCGGGCCATGGAAAATATCAACGAGCCGGCACAAGCAGGAAGGACTCGCACTGCTTAATAGTAAACACGTAAACCGAGGCTGAAGCTTTGCAAGAAGGGAAGCACAATCGTGTGTCTGCATATCAGGGATATGCAAAATGAATTTTGGGTGATTAGCAACAATTTTTGTCTGCTTACAAGGAATCTCCAGAGAGTACGGTGCAGTATGGATGATACACTCCTCAAGAGTGTGTTTAGCTCTTTATGTCATCGTTTGGTACATTTACCCCATTAATCTTCTTTAAATCCTTAAAAGAAAACACACTTCCTGTGTTAAAAGAGAGAATATATACAGCATAAAATCCCATTTTTATGAAGCTCTTATGAACCAAAGAGTTTGGGAACAATTATTAGTCACCTGCACACTTGGTCCTGCTCACGAGAGGAGGTCCCGGAGGGCCGGTTCCGCCCTCTCCCGGTCGAGTCAGCAGCACGCTGATGTGATACTCTGTGTCTGGATCCAGGTGCCACAGCTTATAGGTGACCATGTTGACGCCATGCACCTCTGACCATGGAGACTGGCTGGCACGATACTCAATCTCCTTCCTGATAATAGGGCCATCTCCCAGGATAGAGTTGGTGTTGAGCTGGATGATCAGGTAAGTGGAGCCGGCACGCAGAAGCTGAGGCGGCGCAATGGGGGATGGGGGTACTGTCGGAGAAAATGAAAAGCAGTGTTTTCTCGTTTTCCTGGTTAAGAACACATTGGTATTGATAAAAGCACTTCCTGGCAGGCCGGCAGCACTGCTGCACAATCTAGGGTGGTAAAGTTGTGCTATTAATTTTACTAATCAGTCGTATGCAAATAGATTTCTGGCTATGTTAAAGCCCACTGAGTCTTAAATGAGTCTCCAGAGACTGCAGGATGTGAGCAGGTCAAACTATGTTCAAATAGCAGATTAGTCATAGCTATTAACGGGGCGTTCAGAGCCTTGCATACATTTTTTTAGCAAAGGGGTGAATGCAAAAAACAGCTGTGCATGCGTCGCATTGAACGTGACATTCTCTGTAACTCGGGCAATAATTACTGTGCCTGTTTTTCTCCAACTTCTCAGACAGCCGACCACCACGATGAAAGAGCTGAATACATTACTGCTGGTAAAGCCTGGCAAACTGAGAATTAATACCACTGCCCACGTCACTTTCTGGCAGATCCAAGCCGCTAAACACTTACACAGGCAACCGTGAGAGTGAGGGATGGGAAAGCCAAAAGAAATGTGGACAAAGCATGAGAAAAGATCAGAGTTAGATCTGTGGCTGTGACTAATCCTTCATCCCTGCCTCTGTCTTTTAGGGCCCTCCTCTCTGTGGGTTTTTCGACAACTTCACCTCTACTCTGTATTGCTTCTTTGTGCCTGCAGCAGCTCATCTTTTAACTGTCAATGGATGCATCTATAATAAAAGGCCAAATTTGAGCAAACAAGCAAACAGCCAGTGCGATTACCTTCAAAACATCTCACCTACCCCTTTCACAGTTTAAGTAGATTCAATTTTATCTGCTAATTTATCGTATCCCCCCCTAGTTCATTAATAGTTGTCTCTTCCATGAAAACAAACCAAGCTCTCAGTGCTAGTGTCTGTTTAATGTGGGACTCCTCGTCGGTGCAACATTTATGTTTCTGCCAATGCATTTTCAAATATGCTTAGGACAGAATATGTGCGCACATATAAACTCAGGGCCCACAACAATAGCCCGAGACATACGGACAAGGTAAAACTGTTTTATTAATCATGTAGCTATCTCCGAGCCCTCCGTGGAGCAGTAGAAGGGCTTCACTATGATTCTCGCGTTCTTTCTGCATTATATAAACGAGTAGATCCAACTCATTAAGGGGATGATTAGGCTCTTTTTAGCAGAGCAGAGGGGAAAAGGGATTTATGAAAGCCTTGTTAAGTCAGCGAAGAGCACAGCCAGTTATGGAGTTTTAGGCAGCTGACATGAGAATAACTTAACTGGCCATCGCATTTACTGGTGGTGCAGCCTTGCCAGAAAGAACATCTTTGTCCTGATTATAACAAAATAAGGAAAGCAACAACCACAAAGACACAATGACACTTATTCACTGAGAGTGTGAGCAAATCACAGCCATCTGTCAAGTACATTCGCTGTGTCCTGGTTTTCTGGCACTCGCTGGTTAACGTTCTAGCAAAGGGGGCTCCTTTTTGCAGCAAATCAGTCTATCACGACACTAAAAATCAACCCACGTTGTCTTATCAGTAAAAGGACTATGGAAGCGAGGCATTACAAAGCTCATATGTGCCATGTTCACAATGTAATTTAAGCATGTGAGCATCCTAACATTCACTAATTCGTAGTAAATACAGCTGACGTTGATGGATGGTTTGAGATTATGCTGCTGGACATTTTGATGTCCAGGTTTTTCAGTCTGAGGGAAGTGTGAATACATTTTCAAAAATAAGCATTAAAAAAAAAGACAATCTCATGCATGTGCCCAGCACTTTAAAAAAAAATTACAAAAGCGGGGGCTTCCTCGTGGTGGGATCCTAACTGTTGGCTAAAATTCACAGCAGCCCATCCAACGGTTGTCCACCAAAGTGGCGGACTGCACCAATCTATCAGCCAGCCAAGCGACAGACACTGATATCCACAGAGCCACTCTACTAGCTTGGCTTAAAAACTCCTTTTGGGCTTGTCCTCACTCTCATTTGCGCTCCATTCGGTCTTTAAAAAAGTAATAACAAGAGCATACAGTAGAGGACAAGGGGATTGAGAATCCCTTACATCCTTATTTTCCTTTCTTTACTTTGCTGAGGGCTCGGGTTTGTTATGCCAGCAAACCATCCCGCAAGCCATGTCATTACTATGCTGTCAAAGCGGTGGTGTTGGGCGGTGGGGATGGAGTGAGTAATGGTAGTGAGGTCACCATCTGCGCTACATGATATGACAAGGGCTGCAGGAGTCCCAGGCAAGTGAACAGCTTTCTGACAGAGAGCTGAAGAGCTCAGTATGGCAGTCTATCTGGCAACTACAGCTCAGGATGCCGCACATGCCAGGGAGACTGTGGATATCACTTAAAAAGCCTTCAAGTGAGTCGCTGTAGCATACAAGTTGTGAATAAGAAATTTCTCTGGAAATAAATTAGAAATAAATGCGCGAGACAGTCGCAGTCATGCACAAATGATATCCTGTGGGTATCTGTTTCCTTTTTAATTCTTCTTTCAATCACACGCAGTACTGTACTGTGTCCAAGAAAAGCAGGAAATCATAACGGCTGGGATGATGGAGAATGAAGGCTAAAAGAAAACAATAATAACAGTCAGAGAAAAGGGAAAAGGATGTTTACCTTTGACAACGAGTTCAGCAAAGTTTGAGACTCCGGAGCCTCTGGGGGACTGAGTGACGCAGCGGTAAAGGTCTTGATCAGTTCGCTGGACGCTGTCGAGCTGGAAGGACACCACAAAGCGCCGATGGCTCAGGTGCTTGACTGACGCCATTGTTAAAATGTCCCCATTGTGTCTCTGGAAAGCAGAAAAGGACATGGTCAGAGAAACCAGGATAGGCCATGACCCTCTCACACGCACGCAGATATAAATCAATAACACAGTCTTTTACACCCACACACACATAAGTGTAGATGTTTCTGTAGCAGTGTGAGAAATTCACAAAATACAAATGCATAATAACTCTGAACGACGTAGTCCGAGTCTTTAAAATCTAGAGCTATGCAAAAAAAAAAAAGAGACAGGCTTTAAAGGCTGAGATGTCCTCACTGTTACTCTTTAGCATGAGTCAAGTTGTCAACACCCAAGATCTTTGGCATGGGATAATGCAACATGATAAAGTCTCTCCATTACACCCTCGACATCTTTCAAACTCAGTGTCCCAGTTTGTAATGAAGGCCTGAAGGACGGCAGAAGACAACGGCTGTCACATACTGAGTAGCCCTCGCCATGACCGGAAACTGACCTTCAGTTGTAAAATTAGTGGAGTGTCCCTTCAGCTGATGGAAGACCTCGCTGACTGACTCACTAATTAAAACAGATTTTTAGCAAATATTAGTTATTTAACCTCCTGAGACCCGAACTCTTCCACAGCATGCATTTTTAATTCCTCTTTGATATTTGGGCTGATTGGGACCTGATGAATGTAAAAACAAAGAATTACTCAATTTTTTTTTTTACCTAATTTTTGTTTCTGAGAAAAATGAGAGCCACTTATGAGGATATTCGTTTAAAATTTCGATAGAACAGTAGCACTATAATGTCCTCGTAAGTGGATATCAGGCCCATGTAGAGCAAAATTGAGTATTTTGGTCTAAATAACCCAAAATGTGATGTCCACATATGTGGACGCCAGGTCCTAGGAGGTTAAAGGCATGAAAAATATGCAGATGTTCAATCTGCATGGAGTTGTATGCTTTACGTTGACAGTATTAGTATTACAGAGCATGTTTGTGTCATATCCAGGCGGAATCCCAGAATAGTTGTGTATGTTTGCCTGTAATGTTATAGCATGTACCATCACCAGACACTTCATTAGGTATACTCTGCAACTTTTGCAGTTTCTTTCTGACTTCTGACTCTGACACCAGTAAAACAAGCTCCTGAAAACACTCCTCAGAGATTTGGGTCCATATTAATGCAAAATAGCATCACACAGATTTGTCAGCTGCACATCCAAGTTAAGAATCTCCTGTTCCACTGCATCCCAAAGGTGCTCTATTAGATTGAGATCTGGTGACTGTGGAGGCCATTTGAGTACAGTGAACTCACTGTCATGTTTAAAAACCCAGTTTGAGATGATATTAGCTTTGTATCACTTTGTATCACTGTGCATTAACCTGCTGGAAACAGCCATCCAAAGATCAGTACACTGTAGTCATAAAAGGTCAGTAATAATAGTCAGGTTATGGTGTTCAAATGAAAATCACTTAGTACTAAGGAGCTCAAAGTGTGCCAGGAAAATATCCCTGATACTATTACACCACCACCTGTCTGAACAATTGATACGAAGCAAGATGGATCCATGCATTCATGTTGCTTATACCAGATTCTGACCCTACCATCTGAATGTTGCTCCACACATCCAACCAGTTAGTGTTTTTCCAGTTTTCCATTGTTCAATTTAAGCTTGTGCAAATTGCAGCCTCGGTTTCCTGTTCTTAAGTGACAGGAGTCACACCCACAGTAGTCTTCTGTTGCTGTACCCTGTTTAACATATTCAGAGACATTCAGAGATGCTCTTCTGCATATCTTGGTTGTAAGTAGCTTTTATTTTTGAGTTGCTGTTGTCCTCCCATCACGCAGTCTGGGCATTCTTCTCTGACATCAACAGAGGTCAGCAGTTTCTGAAATACTCAGACCAGCCAAACAACCAGCAAATGGTGCCAGACTGGCACATTTAAAATCCCACTCAAGTAACAAGAAGCTGACCAAGCATAGCTAATAAAGCAGCTGGTGAGTTCAGGTGTATAAGGAGTCTTTGCCTTCTTTTAGTTTTCCTGCCTTCTATTTGCCTCTGCTCCCTTGTTTTGGTACTTTGTTTACTTTGTCTTTTAAGTACAGGTTCATTATGTTTCATACACTGTTTTTATTATAAACATCCTTGCACACACAACATCCAGCCTTCCCTATTAGCACGGGACACACACACACACACACTAACAACCTTTATGGTTGCCCCCACAGTTACTGCACCATGAACTCCTGGAACACAAAGCTAATAATGTAGCAATACACAAATTACTGCTATCTGGGTCACTTCTAGTTAGAGCTGTGTGATTAAAAAGAAGAATCGTCCAGTTGTGTATAATTTCATTAGAATGGAAGGACCATCTCACTGATTTAATCGTGCCATATTACGATCAGACGTGCTTTAATGAAAACAAATGAAATCTTGTTAAAATAATAGTGATTATGGGGGTAATATATGTCATGAGCGTCGTGCCCTAATGGAGCCCATCTTCGACTTCATCTGTCCTTAGCGTGCAATGTTATTGAAGCAAAACATTTAACCGTTCAACAGTTACAATCGGGAGACAGATGGACTTTAATGCATCAAAGTTTAATCACTCTAGCACAGATACTACTTGAATGATGGCACAAAGAGGCACAAAAGTGCAGAAATGGCCGCTGCTGGCTCTGAGAGGCACCAATCTGTCTGCACTTCAGAGGATGGGGTGTATGTGCTTGTGTGTCTATGTGCAGCTTCTGTGTGTGTAGGGCTAGGCCTGGGTCTGGGGCTCCCTGAGCATTGATCCCCACATTGCTATTAAGGGTGGGCCTCTCCGTTGCACGGTGGAGGCTCCACTGGGTGTCAAGCGGTTCTCGGCCCCAGACTCCGGGCTCCCATCCATAGCTTGGCTGGGATGATTGGCTGCTGCCTCTGGTCCTCTGGCACTCTTGCCCTTGGCTGTGGAAGCTCCATCCAGGACCTCCAGGGTCTTTCCCTGTCTGCCTCTAGCTCTTCGAGGGGCATGGTTGGAGTGTGACCCACATTTTCAAGTATGTTTCATCACAAATTATCTCACACACACACACATTTGTCTGTTTCATCCTCACCCCCCTTCTTTTCTCTCTTTCTTTCTGTCCCTTTTCTTTTTCTATTCGTCCACTTTTTTCTCCAGTCTTTCACGCCCTGTTCACTTTAGCAAAATATTCACACAGATAATAATATGAATAATAAAATAAAATAAAATAATACGATTACGAGAGGAGCCTACAGTGAGTCCATAGTGCTCCTCTTGGTAAAGCTAATGTGTTTGACACAACAAAGCATTCACACCTAAGCAGTCTTAGCAAAAAGAAAAAAGAAAAAATGTCCGCTTGTTTCAGTCTAAGAAGAATGGAAAGAAAAGGGAGTTGTGGCAGAAAGTAGGAAGTGGAGAAAAAACTGTGACAGAGAAAAAAGAGGCTCCAGTGAATGTTGCATGATGCACCTAGCTGTTGCACTGTGAGAGGCCTTTCTCACTTGTTCCACACCATTAAAACCACTAGCATCTGTCACATCCTCACTTTTTCAGAATAACACATTGGCTCTGGCATTTTTTTCCTCATGTTTTCAGGCCATTCTCTCCGCGTGTGAAATAGTGGACATGAATCATCATTCTAGTACTTTTGATCCGACAGCTTTCACAGAATGAGAATGTGAGCGCACTGTGATTAGCAGCGAGACCTCTGGGTTACACTAGGCCATTTGGGCTTCTGTCATACTGCTGATTTGAGGCTTTCAAAAAGCCACAGACCACAGGAACCTCAGGCCGAGTCTTGCAAACAAACACATAAACACACACCCCCTGATTAGGGTTAAAAAGTCAACAAATCTTGTAACCGCAGTAAAAAAGAAAAAAAGAATACAGTAATGGATCCTTCCTGCATCTTTTCTATTCCTGTTTTTTGGTTACTTGGCCGGTGAATTACAGAAAGGCGACAGCAGAAATCAGAATAAATCAGAGTAAATGAAATAGCATGCGATCACTTCATGTTACATAAACAATCTGGCTATAGCTAATTGGCGAGGAAACGACAAAAACGATCTGTTAATCTGGCAGGCGTGTACGGTTGAGACTGCGCTACAGCTGGTACTGCAGACACAATCAACACGAAAGGGCACAACAACAGAAAACAGCCTGAGAGGTGCATGTGTGGAGCAGACAATGGAAGAGGACAGCTGAAGGTAGAAGAGAGGTAGGAGGGGAGAAAAAGCATTCCAGTGGCCTGAAGATCTCATTACAGTAGGCGTCTGTAGGGTTATGCCAGCTAATTACCCAACGCATTTGCCTTCATCTTTGTGTTTGACTAAATGGGTGGCTTGATCAGAGAGGTATGGATGATACAGCAATTACCTAAATCACACGTCTCCCATTTTCAAACAATGCAGAAGGTTTTCCTAGGTCAGCTTTGATTAATGCTGGCTGCAGTGGGTGGTAAGATGCTCAAAAGCACTGAATATGTGGCTACATGCTAACTGTATGCATAAGATGGACAAATTATGAATCCCTACATAGGTCTTTAATTGGAAGAGAAGAGAAGAGTTAAAAAAAATACTCATTCACATGGACTCAAATGGCGACCATCATGTGAATAGATACAGTGCAAAAAGACAAGAACACAGCGATCCTATCAGCAAGGCGACTTTTCAGAGGCAGCGGAGTGAAGACACTTCAAGGCCTTCATAGCCTTTGTAGCATTCAGCCTTTGTGTACCATCTTTATTTAAGGATAAATACGTCTGGGTTACATATAATGATGACACACAGAGAGAGACGTGACAGTTATGTATGCAGTAAACTGTAGCAGCATGTGAAAACTTAACCATGAGTCACAGACCTACGGACAAATCAATAAACACAAAGATCAACACACCTATGATATATTTCCATTACGTGGATTGACTTATCCTAACCCAGGGTTTCCACTGTGCGTTCACTTAAAAGGTGCAAAGTAACTGATTTTAAAAGCTAAAACTGTAATATTAGAAAAATATGAACCAATTACTCAAATAATACAGACAAACGAGTGGCGTGATTTTTTGTGAGAGGAAACACACCCTCACTAATAATGTTAATAATAACATAAAGTTGTTTGCAGCCAACAAGAGAAAAAAAAACATCAAGGTCCATGAATCTGCATTTATTATTAATGCTCGTCAGGAAAAGGCTTAAGACACGACTGTAAAACTTTAGATATTCCTACTATCCGCACTCTGAGAGCTTCCAGGATCGGTGACACTATTTTCGGGTCGGCGGTGATTTCATACCAATTGATCTCTAATCTAGAACGTAACCTGCTCCGGAGCATATGAAATCTACAGCATAAGTTACCATCATGATATAGCCTGGTAAAGTACAGAAAAAACACAGTCTTTGTTGTACTAAACACCCAGGGTTCAACCTGAAGTTGCCCTGATAAGACGAAATCTCGCTTCACAGTACAGGCCTCAGGACTCCTGGCTGTAGGCTATAGCTTCTACTTGAAATGAATGTTCAAATTTCTTTTTTGAAAAGTCAATCAAATAACAACAAGGAGAAACAAAATAACCAGATAACAAGGAAAAAGGTGCAAAGTTGAATAAAATTGACACAATGTTTGTGGTCACATGTGTCTTTTTCTGTGTGCAGGATGGTTTTCTCTTCATAGGAAAGTGTGTGATGACTTTTACTGTGTCCCACGTGCCCAGGGAGCCTTGACTAATAATCTGTCTGTAACATTAGGCACTAGAGTTAGTAAAAGAAGAGTTCCCTTTGCACTGTTGCCATGTTGAAGGTAAAAATACAACAAGCTGACACACAGTAAACACAGGTTACTCAGCAATAAACACCATCATGAAGCACTAACCTCCAACAGGAACTTCTCAGCCTCTGATGCCCTTCCAGCAGCAACACACTGGAAAGTGGCATTTTGCCCAGCATTGACCTCCTCATCTCCTAGCCTGGAGAAGTGTGGCGCCTTATCTAAAGAGACAGGCAGAGAGAGAGAGACCCACTGTGAGATAAAAAATAAAATAAAAAAAACCCCATTACCTTTCAACCGTTCACAATGCAAGTCAGCTTCAGATTAACATAACATGTTTTATCCAGGTTTTCTTTTTGTTTTTTTTTAATGCAAGAACAGAAATTTCAGGGTTTTTCTGTTTTGAAACAGCAGTTTGGAGGACTTTGTATGAAACTGACCGGCTATGAAGGGCAACCATTAAAAACATAAATCAGTTTATCAATAGTTTGGCAGCAATTTATTCACATATTTTCATTCGGTTCATTCAGTTCGCATCAGCCTTTTCAGGCTGAGGGCTAAAAATTGATTTTCGTTTCCAGTTTCTCCACGGTCAAAATTAAGTCTAAATTTGCACTGCATTTTTAAAAATTTTTTAATTAAGATATAAAATACAAGAAAAACATTTATAGAAATTGAGTGCTGTTGAGGTTAAAGCCACTGATGTCCATTTTCTTTCCGTAATGTCTAATCCGCCAGTATGTACAAAGCTCTGATATTTTTAATGCTAAAATTGTTGTTTTGGCATGAATTATTGTTGTTATCCATCAATTTTTAAATTTAACATTCTACAGAAATGCTGAAAAAATAGTAAAGCACATAATTATTATTATCTAAGATGCCAAATTACAGCTATTTACTTGTGTTCCTGAACACACAGATAGTTTTGCTCAACGTTATGCTCAATTAATCTGTGACTTCACAGAGAAGTCGAGTGCGTCGGCTCAAATTTGGGTATAAACAGGTGAATTCTCCAGTGAATTTTGACCAGTTTCCAAAAATACTCCCGTTTCTTTGTTTTTATGGCAGGTTGGGTAATAAATGTGTTCAGTGCTGCGTATATATTTTTAATCGGGGTGGAAATTCTGTAAATGCAAATGTGGGCAGTGGCTCGCTCAGAACCCACCGCTAAAATAACTCACAAACAACATCAGATTAGAGGGGATCTATAGATAAGCACAATGTGGGAGTGAATCTGTGGAAGAAAAGCCAGCGAGTGAGCATCGGCTCTCTGCATTTCGACTAATAATGTCCCAGCAACCTGCGCGGGAGCCGCCAATGAGTCAGTGTGTGGGAGTAGCCCTCTCACCCAACTCCATGATTAACAATAGAGCAATGAGTACCAAACCCCTGCAGAGCCAAATCACTGGGTAAATGCTGGCAGCACTGCCTGCCAACTCTGAGAGATGGGGTAGCAAAAGTTGACATGTCACTCCAGATGACTGACAGGAGGAGAATGCAGGGCTGCTGTGAAGCCGAAGCATCGGGGAGAAGCAAATGTTTGAGTCTCACTCATCTTCTGCCTGGTTTTGCACAAGACTCTGTTCCCGTCTAGCTCCGAGGAAGATGACAATTTCTTCATCTTGTTTGTATACAGTAAGTAAAGGAGAGTGCTTGCATTTGTACCCCACATGTGGCCATGTTTCCTTTGAGTGACTTTCCCTCCTAAGGTTTATTCATAATTCATGCGAGCCAAATATACAGTAAACAAACACTGAAATGAGTGTGAATAGAAAAGAACAAGCTCTGCATTTGGAACCGACTGCAGTGTTATACAGCTAAATGTGTCAGATCCTATCCTCGGGACTCTTTAGCGCGATAAATATTTCATTGGGCTGCAACACTGGTTTCAGAGTCAAAGATTAAGACTCAGGAGAATACAACAAAAATGTCAACCATGCTTTATCCAGTATTCCCAGAAAGGAACTTTTTGTTGAGAGTTCCTCTTAGTTAGTTTTTTTTTTTTTTTTGTATGCAACACTTAATGTCTTTTCACTCCTTTTCATCCTCCACACTCTATGCTGCCAAGTAAGGCAGGCTGGCTATGTGCCACATCATAAGGCATGTTCAGGTCTTGATGAGAGTCTTAATTATTTAATGACCACAGTGGGAGCATTCAGAAGTTGCCATCTGCTATGTCTGGAAGTAACAGGGTGTCCGACTGGGTGATATGCATACAGTATGGGTACAAAGCAATCTTACAGCCAACGTTCACGTAATAGAGCTCCTGGTGGTATCCTCTGTAACGTGAAATCCCCGAGGTGTCCAACTCAGCAAGAATAAAAAAAAAAAGAAATAAAAAACGGATATAACAGAGATCCCCCTGAGAGTAAAATATCCTTCAAGCTTGTGTCAGGTATATAAGTCACATGAAAGCAGCGTGGCTCAGGTGTTAAATGTGCTATGAGCTGACAAGAGCCCTTGTGTTCAGCAGTGGGACTGTACAGGGAGTGTGTAAGTGACAGGGAGAGACTTTGTCCGAGTATTAAGCTTGGGAGCTTTAGCGAATACATTTTATACAAAGACTGTACATTACTGTGTAAAAGTCTTGAGCCACCACTCATTTCTTTATATTTTGCTTGGAAATGAGAAATCGGTGCTGTAATTGATTTAAACGTGCAACCATACATGTTAATACAGTATATAAGGCAAAAACAGAGCTTTTAATAAGCTTGAAAGTCAATATTTGGTGTGACCACCTTTATTCTTCAGCACAGCCTGAACTCTCTCAGGCAGCTTTCGTGTCATTTCGTGATCTAGTCTTCAGGAATAGCTCTCCCGGCTTCTCTAAGGACAAAAATGGATGCTGTTTGGATGTTGGCTGCATTTTGTTTTGTCCAATGATCCCACACTGCTTCAACATCCGTGAGGTCTAAGCTCTGAGGGGGCCAATCCATGACTGATTGGGTGTTTTTCTATCCAGGTGTTCTTTTACTGCATTGCCAGTGTGTTTGGGATCACTTTCGTGTTTAAATATGAAGTCATTGCTCATCACACACTTTCCAGATGGTATTTACATGGTGGATGAAAATCTGACTGTACTTTTCTGTGTTCATATTTCTGTCAGTTTTGGCAACATCCCCAAATCATGATAGAGCCTCCACTGTGTTTTACATGTGACTGTAGACACTTACTGTTGCAGCTCACTCCTGAGCTCCTCCATGCACAATGATGACTTGAACCAAAGATTTCCAAACTGGATTTATCATCTATCAGACCTGTTGCCACGGTTTTATTTTACCATACCTCAGATTTTTCTCCCTTTTCCTCTTCCTTAAAAACGACTTCTCGACAGCCCGCCTTCTGACACCATTTCCGGTGAGACTTCAGTGAACAGTAGATGGATCAACTCAAGGGCCAGATGCATCTCTCAGGTCCTCTGTTAGATTTTTTTTGTATGATGACGTGAATTTCAGATAACATTTATCTGCTGTAGATTGTTTTTTTTTTTGTTTGGCCTGCTACTTTTTCAGCTAATAGCTCTTTGGAAATTGGTTGGTACAAAAATGCCAAATACTGTTCTCTTTGTCACTTTTCAGAGATTCAACTTTCAGAGATTCAAAAAAATGGGAAAAAATGTTTTTGCAACAGGCTTCTAGTAACAAAGTGCCTAAAGATGCAATTTAAAACGGGTTCTTTTGCAATGTTGTCTGTTATGTGTAGACACCAAACAGATTCATCTTGTGTGTTGTTGCCTTTTTTGTGCTTGAATGAGTCATAGGTCAGGGTTAAGTGGCTTACAAACAAAAACTCAGAAAACGGTCAGGTACAAAATGTTCAAAGGAAAACTGAGACCTTCAGAAAGCCTGGAGAACTGCTAATCACTCACACAGTAGTGCATATAAAAGATGTATCCAAGTCTGAAAACTAAAGCTAGTGCCAATGTCATCGGTGCCTTAAACCTAAACAAACCTTGATGCGATTCACTCGTCACAGTCGTTTCAGGGACCCACTAGTAAGTGATACACATTTGATGATACTGGAAATAATCCAGCAGCAGTGACTATAATTTGGTGTACACACCAACGTAGAAGGTGGCAGTACCGCAGCTCAACACTGATTGCCTGTTACCATAATAGGAAAGAAGAACTCCAGTTCCCAGCAAAGTGTGCGGCTGGATCCATAAAATCAAGCTGAACTAGAAGACAGATAACACACTCTACCAGCACCTGACAAACCTACCTTGTTATTGCTGGAGTTTGGGAAAAATTGCTGAGGTATCACCAAGAGTTTGTTTGGTCAACATAACTGTGTAGCGAAAAACCTGACAATATGACAGCCCTAGCAGGTTTTTTAAAAAAAGCAATATTGTCTTGCCTACAGTATGTCCATCTTTTATATACTATTTATATACTCTTGTTTCACACAAAGTTGTCAAGTTTCGGAAGAAAACTGAAATGCTCCTTTCACTTTTTCACCAGTGACACAAAAAGCCCTGTGCTGCAGGGAGCTGTTTATTATAACAGCAACAACAAACAACCCTGAACAGGAGGCGTTTTCATTAAGCTTTAAAATGCAGCTAAATGTAGAAAACCTCTTTATGAGTTAAGAGCATGAAAATGCAAAAGCCTTCACAGAGACTGAATTTGAGATTACACTGATTAACAAATAAATCTGCCTGTCAAAGCGTGCTGGAGGCAAAACGACAGGTGTGTTCTCAGGTGGAAGGGAGTGTTGGCATTTGGGTGTCACAGTGTCTTAATAGTGCCGCTGTTGTCACAGCGTGCCCCGGGAGAGCTTGTCGTACTAATATAAAAGGTCAATCAGCCATTACTCTTCTCCTGATCACATTTATATTTCATGCTGCTTTAAAATCTGTTTTACCCCCACCCCAAGAGAAAAAAGCTAAACATTTCTTTCCTGCAGCATCTTCTGTGACCGCAATCCACTTACAGCAAGGATAGTTGAGCACCATGATGTCATCTATGGCAATGTAGCCTCGCCGCTCCTTCGAAACCGTTGCCTCAATCAGCACCTGCAAAAGTGAACATTAATAAATGATGAGCAGATTTTATTCGTTAGCAGAGCAGCTAAAGCATATACTTTTCATTAGCCTGATGCTCTCGAAGCTGAAGTGTCAGCGCGTTTGAGGGCTGTGTGAATTCTACCCCACTCTGCTCTTGTTCCTTCTACTGCGACAGACGGATTAATTACAAACACACCCATCACCGCATGTTTTACCTCAGTCCACGGGGCCAAGGGAAATAATTGATTTATCAGGAGGCACACAGAGTTGTTTTTGTTGTGTCGCATTCTAAACGCAGGACGGCCACAGCAGCTGATAATGCAACTTGCCACGAGACTCAAGGGGAGGACAAACCTCCACACCCTCCTATGGAACAATAAGCTGGATGAGCTGTGGGCTCTCATGAAACCTAATCAATATCAAATCACCAACCTCAGTAACACTGAGAGAGTTATGGGACACGGGGGTGATGTTTGTTTTTGCACCACCAAGGACAGTCTCCCATCCACAAGTTTGATCAAAGGCCAGCTTTGAGTTATTGTTTCACATAATCCTCTGACAAAGTGATTACAGCATGTTTCCTATCGCTGGGTTTGGATTTTTACTGAAATTTTACTGAAACTAAAATGAAATCACATCCTCAAAGCTGCTTTAAATGTGTCTGACATGATATTCTATATCATGTTAGCTTAATCTTTACAAGGTCAAATACACTGGTGCCTACCAGAGCTCCCCCTCAGCCTCCTGGAAGTACTGGATCATCTTTTACCAGGTTCAAAATGTTCCATTCTTATTGTTTAATGTTGAAACATTAAGCAGGCAACGTCTTTTAACACTTTTAATTCATCTTTTAATTGTCCCCTGGCCTTAAAATCCAAACAGTTACATCAGTCTGACAGGAGGAAAGTTACTATCACTATGAAAATTCACAGAATGCAAATTGGGAAAAAGCTCTCAATGCTGTCAGAAGAAACTGTGGTGCTGGTGTAGATACATATTATACTGCACCGTTGAAAAACCTGCAAAATAAAAACAAACTCAGGGGAAAATATCACTGTAGCTGAATACTTCTCTGACAATACCAAAATTATACTTTAAAAAACCTCTGTCTGAGAGCTGGTTAGCGGTTTTTTTTTGTTTTTTTTTTGCTTTTTGATTTACACTGAAGGAACTTTGACACCCACATCATCTCTGCGACCGCAATCCTCTTATGTTTGAACACCTAATTTAAGAGTCACAACTGCATCTTCAGGACCTCTGGCCCAAACCGCAGCCTTCCACAGTCAGCAGGACGGAGACGGTCCACCTTCTTTGGGCTTTGAAAGAAAGACGCCAACCGGTGTGACAACAAACTCGGCCATGCGTGACCCCTAAAGGCACCTTCCCAGAGAGATGGTGATGGGATGTGAGGAGATTGGGGTCAGCTGGAAAAAGAAAAAAAGTCCAGACAGGATGCCATGCAGGAAGCCAGGCGTGCACAGAGGGGAGGCTTGAAGCTTGCAGAAGGAGAAGTGGAGTGGAGAGGAGAGGAGAGGTGAAAGGAAAAGCAGGAGGAAGGGTCCTGGCTGCTGGGTCTCCTGGAGTTGGAGGCTGACCCCGCTCTGTCCACAGCTGGCTGCTCTACTCACAGAGGAGCACTGAGGCTAATCTCCTTCTGTCAGAGTCAATTTTTCCTTTTTGTTCCCAGACTTTGTTGGAACCTGAGCTGGAAGATGGCACCGCTTTTCAAAAGCAATATTAACGTTTCGCTGTTTTCATCGTTTTCCCCCTTCTTCAGGTTGTCAATTCGCTTAAAAGCAGAGTCCTCCCCTCTGATTTGATTTTCTCTACCTTTCCATTTTTCGCTGTCTGCCTTTATTTCTTTCATCTTCCTCTCAAGTCTTCTTTACTTAACTCCTTACAAGCCCCTGCTTAACCAGAAAACAAATAAACAAATCATTGCTATAATGAAAGCATAATATACTTCCGTATGTTGACCTGAATTAGCTGTGTAAACAAATGCGGCCATGCCATTAGACTAACATCAAAAATTAGCCAGAAACACTGATTGGGCTTAATGGCATACAAGACAGAGGGAAAAAAATGTCTTGGAAGTCTAATTAAGGTGTTATTACTCTCCGCTGAGCTAAAGCACCGAGGAGATTGATTGCTGGTTAATCCTTGAACTTCTTAGCCATTAGAAGAGCAGCTTTTTACGAGGGAGACATTCAGAGCATTTGTTTTAATAAATAACCTCTGCGGATTTTTATTGAAAGCCACTTTCCCAATGAAACTTTCCATGTGCCTATTCTTTATTCTAATGAGCTGCTACTTTGCTTTCTCGGGATAAAAACGCAGGCACCGTCTTTTGGAGATAAAAAAAATAAGGAAATAAATAAATAAAAGAGTGACACCGCGGTGATTTACGGCTGATATAAGATGCACATTATGAGAAAATATTACATTATCCTGTAATACTGGCTTTTAGAAACGGTTATAATGTATACAAATCTGGAGACAATTTATTTGGCCCTATAAACGACCTGATACCTTTTCTCCAGTCACGAGACACAATTAGGCACACCAGGCTTTCGCTCACCATGAGACGCAGTCATGCATTAGATAGATGACAAAGGATTGCGTGCTGAAGTAAATCTGATTGGTTAGGAATACCAAAGAATAGCAGCCAGTGTCTGAAGATATAATTTCAATGTCAAGAATCTCAATTCGCTCTGTACAGCGTTAAAAAAACAAAAACCTTTAATGTAGCCATGGGCTCAGCTTGAGGACTCTCAGCAGGCTACAGCGAGGAAAATAGCAGAAATTATCAGACAAAGAGGAGACACACAGATTCTCATTTACAAGCCTTTGATGTGTTTAATGCATGTTATCTTTTTCCTTTTTAACTGAAATTGGTTTTATAAGTAAACAAGATAACATCATGGGAAATCGTTTTACATATCGAGACTTAATAATAACAATGTGAGAAAATGTCTGAGCGTGTCTATGAAAGTAGACGCTCTGTCACTTTGTTATTCTGGAGCATTCAGGTGTGTCTTAACACAATGCCAAGGAGAAAAGATGTCAGCACTGATCTTAGAGGAGCAGCTGTTGCTGCCCATTAGCCTTGGAAGGGTTATAAGGGCATTTCCAAACAATTTAAAGTCCATCATTCACAAGTTTATTCCCATGTGGAAAACATTCAAACACTAGTCAATCTTTCCAGGAGTGGACATGGCAGCAAATTCACCCCCCAAGGTCAGACTGTGCAATGATCAAAAGAGCTACATGTCAGACTCCACAGGCCTCAGCTAGCATGCTTCGTGTTCAAAAGTTCAAAAGTTCAAAACACTATAATTAGAAAAAGCCTGAACTCTAAAAAGAACATCAGCAGCACGGTTTACGTTTGCACAGTTGCATTTGAACAAACCACAAGACAGGTGGTGGTGAGAATTAGCTGTAATGCTCAGCACCGTGTTAGTGCAAATTAGTGCAAACACCACATTCCAACAGTCAGGCACCGTGGTGCAGGGCTAATGACCGGGGCTTTTTTTTGCAGCCACAGTCGCCGCAGTCATCAGACCACGAACTCCTCTGCACACCAAAGTATTCTAGAGTCAAATATGAGGCCGTCTGTCTGACTGAAATCGGGGTCATGCAACAGGACAACGATCCCAAACACAGCAGCAAATCTATAACATAATGACCCAACGTCCAGACCGCAGTCGGATTAAAATGCTGTGGCAAGAGTGACGATGATGTGAGAGACCGATAAAGTCACACAGAAAATGATTACTTCAGTTTATCACTGCTAAAGGTGGTTCTACAAATACTCAATCCTGTTCTTGTTTACTTTCAAAACGGTTTCACACGATTGTATATTCACATTTTCTAAATCATTTGCTAAAAAAAGAGGTGAAACACACATTGAACAAAACATTTCTCGTACAGTTTTTTTATAGATGACACAAATATATAGGGAGTCAACATAAAACTATCATAAATGCCTTTGTGAATGATAATCATGTGGCAAACGTTTGACATCTTGTCAGCCATGCAGCGTGTAATTAAAATTTTATAGAAATCACCAGGTAAAAGAAAAGAAAAAGAAAAATATTATGTTTGCATCATACCATATCAACACATGGGGAAAAGTAAGAAAAGGAAATAAGAAGACAGGAGGGGTCGGCTGGGACCGGGTGGGTTCAGCACAGAGGTGCATGTCTCCGGCTCTAGTTAGCAGTTGTGGGGGCTCGATAACATCTTTAATATTTGATAACAAGATTCTCCAGGTATTGCAAACACTCTAAACCGATATGAGGCAGAGAGAAATATGGCAATGCACAGCAGATCGCACTCGCACGACATTTTCAATCGAGACATCTCAAGGTGATCTTACTGCCTTCTATTTTCCATTCCTGAAACCCATTGCACTCCAAATCCCAATTTCACATCTGTGATAGGAGGAAGAGACTCCTGTCAGCCCTCGCATTAATATACACGACAACCTAATCAGAAAATTTACAGTAAAGTGTACATAAAGTGCAAACATAGACATGTTAAAGAAAAAAAGAAAAAGAAAAACATCATCATTCATTTTCGATAAAATCCTCAAACACTCAAGCTGGATATAATCAAGAAAATCATTTTTTAAATCACCAGGAAAGCGAACAAATGAGATTGGAGTGATTGTGGTTTTTCGGCATATTAATCCCCTTAGTTTTGGTGATTATCAGAGAATTTGTCAGACTCCACTTAATTACATTCCACAATGACATTTTCAAGAAATAAACAGAGACTGAGTGCGTGCCCCAAACAAGGTATTTCATTACACCCCAAAACGGTGAAAGCTCGAGTGTAATCTCACGTCTGTATCTCTGCAGTGTAAAAGCCTGACATTTTGTATCCCTGTGCTGTAGGCAAGAAACCGGCTCCTCCAATATGTCCTGAAACCTAATAAGGCAGAAGAACTTGAGGATTTAAAAACTGCCTCCAAAAGCTTGTGTGTTCCCGTGAGATTTATTTTAGTCACAGACAATGATAAGAAGGGCCCATTATACACCGCTGCTTCAAAAGAGTGCTTTTCTACTTTAATGACAGTGTAAATCAGCCTGCCTATCATTTAAAACCCAAAGTGGAAGTATTACACCTGCCATGGAGCTAATATAAACAAAGACTTTCACCATTTAAAGTCACACAAAGCTGCTGCTATACAGCTAAAAAAAAACATGTAAAAATGAAAGTTGAACGCTGTGCCACTGAAAACTTCTTTTCGTTGCTGCTTTACAATAGAGGATGGCCAGCACTATTAGCAGTGTTGGGAAGGTTACTTTTAAAATGTATTAAAATACAGATTACAGAATACATGCCCCAAAATGTATTCTAACGTATTCCGTTACGTTACTCAATGAGAGTAACGTATTCTGAATACTTTGGATTACTTAATATATTATCATGCTGTTTA